TCTCAGATATTACAAATCAGTCGAAAAAAAACACGAAAAAGAAATAAAGTGGCAAATTTGAACATATGAAAACTATCACTGCGCAGATAAACAAAATAAAACAAAAAGGAACAAGATAAGCAGTTTCAGCTGCCAAAGGTGACAAACAGTACCAGATTCTGTGCGACAATATCTTGACAGACAAAAAAAAAAAAGAATTCACCTGGGACGCCAATTCCTTATATGTTCACCACGCTTCGAGAGCCATCCTTGCATAATAGCATCGCCTGGTTTCCGTGGTGTAACGTTCTGATCATTTGACATGCTAAACTGTCAAAGATGTAAATTTAATGAAACGCAATAAAAACTTCAAGTACGAGACGATGCCAACGAACCCGCATGGTTGTTGAAAACATATTAATTAACAGGCTACCAATAGCAGTGCTAATTACAAACTATGTAATCAAAGAAATATCACCACTCAAAAACATCCGCTCAAAAAAAAAACTAGATGCGCAAACCTGCCACAGATAAACAAATAAACATATATATGTATAAAGTTAAAATAATTGAAAATTATGAATATGTGAAGACGAAAAAAAAGTTGCATAAACAGATACATATACTGCAAATATATACAAACTTTCAGTATCTTCAATGTTTGCTAGTGGCAACGAAGTCTTATAACTAACTTGATCTTCCATATTTTCTTCGATGACAAATTTCCATAAAGTTATTTTTTCAAAGAAAAAAAAAGACGTCCTAACACTCATTAACCACCAGTTATTCATTCTCCTCCATTTGATTAATGAATCCTCTTTTTCTGCTTCCTAAAAAAGTTCAAACCTTGTGCAACATCTACCTACAATCAGATATCATATTTCATTTTCGATTCTTCAGTTCTAAATAAATAAATTGCTACAAAAAAATAAAATAAAATAAAAAATAAAAGTAAGAAATAAAAATAAATGAATAAATAAACGATGGAAAAAAAAGAAGAGAAAACATTAAAAAATAACACACCAACGAATTACCTCACGTGATGAAGTCGATATTTCCTCAAAGTGTTTACAGTCATACTATTGATTACAGCACCTGAATTGTTCAAGTCTACAGTTATAGACAGCCTACTACAATAGAATCGAACACATCAATAAAAAACCCTCAAACAACTGCTGTAAGTCACAAATTTTGCAGTTTACCAATTATGCAAAACAGACTGCCGAAAAAAAAAAAGCAAAAACTGAAGAATAGATAAAAGCAAAGGAAATCTATGACAGAAAAAAACGCCTGTACAAACAAATCAGCAACAACAAAGGAAAATATCTTCCCTTCCCGTCACATTCCATCCTATATATATACTTCGCAAGAAGGCAAAAAAAAAAA